TGCTGTACATAACATATGCATCACAGGAGAATTCTGTCATTTTTCTCATGTCATGAACAGGATATCATTCACCACAATATCATTTTCATCACATCTCAGTTAAGGTATTTTTCTACTCTTGCTTTTTCCTGCTTTTTTTGAAGGCTATTTTCATAACTAGTGTGTCATGTATCCTAAATTACACATAATTAAATGTTCACACATAAATACTCTATTCATGTTGTATTTATTAACTGTTGATAATATTAACAAAATTGCTGGTTTTAACTGAGGGACAGTCATACATTATTAATTATTTTAAATATTTTATAATAATATTTTATAATAGTTTTGTGTGTGTAATAATTCATATTTTTATTATGTATTTTCATATTTTAGGGGTTAAAACAATCTTTACATAAGACATTTTAAAAAGTTGCCAAAAGAAATGAAGTCATAATAATTAAAAAAAAACTCTAAAACCATTTTAATGTAACCTTCAAATAACCAAAAGAAGAAAAAAATTATAATAAAAAAATACCCCCAAGGCATAAAAGTACTTGTAGCTGAAGGAAAAAACCCTATTTAATATACCATCACATTATTTGTACTCATAAACATCACAAAACAACTCAATCCGGTGTTTCAAAATTTAATCAAACATTGAAATGTGAAGTGCGCTTGTTGCCACTCTGCTGCCGTATGAAAACTGCTGGCTGTGGCAGTGGGATTCACGGTAAGAGAGCTGTATGGCTGTTTAGCCTGCGGTAATTATGTGCTCTTCAGGACTGAAAGGGTCTGTAATAACCTGGCTCTACCGCCACCGCTCAGCTATTAGAGGAGAGAGAGGCAGGCCTGACATTATCTCTTAGCGTCACAGATCTGCCTCTCACTCACCTTGGGAATGGCAAGCAGGAAGGCTAATTAACAAAGAGGGGTTGAAAGAGCAAGAGGCCTTTGGGTGAATTGAGTCCATATAAGACACTCCAAGGAGATGAGACAGTAAATGGAGGAACTGCAATGAACAGCTAAATTCAGAGCCACCAAAGGACAAATAATAATATGCAATATAAAGCAGAGCGTTCCATTACGCTTTCCTACAGCCACTGCTCATTTAGTATACTCACACTAAACGGTCATAAAACAGTACATTTGTTTTCACACAAAAATGTTAAACAAAAAAACACCTTGCACTGTTCTAAAACTTCATTTTAAAAATGAAGATGAAATAGCTATATTACAATAAAATATATTTATTAAAAAATAAAATAAATGATAAACAACCACATAGTAGCATTTCTGTAGAGCAGCTAATATCTGGCTTTCAGATTCAGTGTTGTGACTGAAAGTGCCTCCTCTCTCATGTGCTCTGTTTTTATGGCTGTGGTGGGCGGGCCGTAACGATTGGAAGATACGTACAGCAGTGATAGATCATTCTGATTACAAAGACGTGCTGCCACTTCAGTCAGTGTGCCTGCATGTGCACATACACATACTGTTTATGCTAAATGACACATTCGGTGGCATATGTTGACGCGTGAAAAAATAATATCAGGGTTACTGAACAAGATACAGATGATATAGTACAATGGGATAATGTGCATGCATTGTGTAAGGAAGAGACTGAATTTGTCTTGACTTGCATTGAGCATATGGTGATAAGCTCAAATATCAGACACTGAGTCAGAGGAAAAGTGTACGCGTGCATATGGTAGAGAACATATGGGGCTCTGGCAGACTGGTAATGTGTGTCTATAGTACATATGGTGTACAGTGTGTTACCTGGTGTCTGGTAGTTGAGTCTCCTCATTTCTACAGGATCAGACGAGTTGGCCAGAAGACAATCCTTCACTCCACCAGAGTGATCATCTTTCGGTAGGGGGGATGCTCTCTTCCTGTAAGAGCAAAATGGAGTCAGCATGAGTGCTTCTGTTGACACATTCAGACCACGCCAGACCCACTAACAGATTCGAAAGATTTGAAACAGATAACAAAGACAAATTAAAGAATTTTGAGGGATGGGACAGAGAAATGTGGACATTAGCATCTTCATAAATTTACATCTATTAAACACCTATGTGTCCCGTGTTGACGACTCAATACATGATTTGCGAGAGAGAATTTGATTGGACAAAATTAGACAAAACATTGAGTCCATTTATTATATAATACTATTCAAATGTTTGGGGTCAGTATTTTTTTTTTTTTT